AATATTTGTAAATCAACAGCTATTTCATTTTTATTAATTGCATTATGAAAGGGACAGTATTATTATCCAGGACCAGTAACGTACTGGAGATTCATGATGAGCACAAATGTCTCCTCATTGCTAGTATTTCTGTAAACCAAGAGGGGAGGGGGGGACTAATGAAAACTTAATTTATAAAATACAGCGCACATTTCCAGATGCAAAAGATAGAAAAGTTAATTACATTACTTTACATACAGGCCATCCAAAGAGCTACAAAATTAACCTATCGGAAAGATTAATATTTTACTCTGGTTACAATGTTCCAAGTTAATTTATCTCCGAAAGATGCCTACTTCCCTGAGCAGCATCCATGTTGCAAAAGCTTTATCTAAAGCCCCGAAAGCAAAAACCTACCACCCACATGGTGCCAACAGAGGCATATTGTTCAAGCAATCAACAGTAACGATGGGAACACCCTAAAAAATTCCCGAAACTGGAGCGACACCATGCAGCAAGGGACTGCCTGGCTCACAACCCTGTCCAGTCACAGGAGATGTCTGGTTTAAACATCTCCATCTCACCATATATGCCAAGCCACAAATTAACTCCCAATTCTCCGCAGCATGTACTTGGTGCTTTTCCACACCATCTTGTACCGTTAGTGATCTCCTGCCTTGTCCCTACTGTCATCACGAACATAACCTGTTTATGAGACTAGAAGTACTCGTCCCCATTCGCTGCCTGCTGTCTTGCAACCATATCAAAGCCGCTCCGTGCAAATAATACGTGAACACACACATTTAGGGTATGCTGGAAGTGCAAAGATGACTGGGTGGAAAAGAAAAGAAAAAGAAACCTTAAAAAGCTAGTGATTTTCCATGTCTCTTCCCCTTCCCTCTGGGCAACACTTTTTAAAAGAAAACAAAATATCAATGTGAGAAAAGGCACTTCTTAATAATAGCTAAAAAAAAATCAAAATAAGAAATGTGTGCTTAGAGCACTTATATTAGATGAGCACTTTCAGCCTAAAAAGATCTCAAGATGCACCAGTTCCTACAGTTAGAAATTTGATATATATTTGAAAACAAAATACAGGGCATAAAATGCATGTAATTTTAATACATAAAACCATTACTACAATTCAGGAAACTTCGATGAAAAACACCTACACCCCCTTTTTTCCCTTTGAATAGACTAAGATCATTCCTGAGATCATAAATCCTGAAACAAAGGCGACTTCATGCTATTTCCCAGTATCACAGAACATGAAGTGCTCAGCACCTCTGTCGCCTGAACAGCCCCTTGCAGCGTTCCTCTTACAAGAGCAGAAAGGAAATATATAATTTAAGAGCACCCTAAACCTGATCCTTTTTGCCAGATCCCCCTCTCATACATATAAGAAGAAAAGGCACATGGAAGGGCACGATTACACCCACTCAGCAGAAGCCAGGCTTTGTTTTTATAAACCCATGAGGCAGCAATCTTAACATTACCAAATTTTCCAATTTTTTTTGGTGCAAGCTCAAGACAGAACACCATCACTCTTGGGCTTCGGACCAGGACAACAGGTGACTGCTGGGTTATAGGATTTATTTAAAATACCCACGATGTCTCAATGTTTTGGAGAAGTACCTAACGGAAAAAGGCCTTCTACGTTAGCAAACAGATGTTTCACTGTAGTCCAAGCACAGAGGACAACAAGGCATTCTCGCACCTTTTTAGAAATCAAAGTTTCATAGCAACTAACCTGTAAAGGCACCTTTGGCTGTACACAAATACTTACTGGTCAGGTATCTTTTCCTTGTATTTAATAGGTATTTCTACCAGTATTCCTACTATAAAATTACAGCCTTGTGTTGCTGAAATGAATACGCATCCACGCAGCTTCACAAGGCTTACCTGGGGAATCAGAGAATTAGCCCCCAGACTGAGGTTTTCCTGGCCAAATTTCAGTCTTTGGGTTTTGTTCTCTTTTTTTTTTTTTTTAACTTTTGTGGCCAAGTAATACAATACTTGGAAAATGACAAAAGGAACACTGCAGTAATTGAAAGTATGTGGCCTTTTTACCGTGATTTTTCCTTGTTTGCACCTACAGGTAGGCAATGAGCACCAAAGATTCTGTCTTTAAAAAATTAAGCAAAAAACATAAGTTTGTCTGTACCATAAAATAAACGGATTTCCTTCAGCACCAAGGCTGCCAGAAAATACATTTCTAGCAACTACCAAAGGCGGATGTATGCCCCTATTTATAGTACACTAATGCAATTGTGAAATGCATACCCCATGCACTTCATTTGCATTCAACTTTGACTATACTCTTCATCGAGCTAAGCAGCTTGTGGGAAGGGTTATTCCCAAGAATAAAACTATGTTAACTTTGTCCATGTATCAACAGCCTGCAGAGACTCAGGGGTGCCCTCAGAGTCCCCCATCCTCTGATACATCTCCTTCGGGTGCTCTGACTCCAACAGGCAGATTGCAAAAGATGAAAGCTTACATTAAACTAAGAAGCAGGGAAGTTACGACCTGCCTGTGATTAATTTCTCCCCCCAAAATGGGGATAACAACTGTTTCGCCACCTTGGTTCACCTTCTCTCTTTATACTGTAAATCCCCAGTAAAGGTGCTGAGTCTGATTGCGCACATATCATGCCAAAACCAGCAGACACCAGGCTAGAAACCCAGGCACTGCTGCAAAGCAGATAACAAACAGTGGCTGTACCAGAGGAGGTCTGTATAAATACAGTGCATTTGCACTTAGCAGAGTGACATTGCAGAATAATTCCCTCATCTAATACCATGACAAGGGGTTGTAAACATTGCAAGACGATTAACTGCCAGAAGATGATACTATAGAATCTGAAGGCTATCTAGTTAATTTATGGACACCTGCTCTGCTTTAAGTCCAGCTCTTTTTAGGGTGTCAAGCAATTTCAAATTCACTCGTATGCAAGAGAAAAATTTAAATTATGGTTTCACAAAAAATAAAGTAGGAGTCACCCCCTCTTTCTTCAGTTTTCCTATTGAAAAATTATCCGCACACACTTTCAGCCATTCCAAAGCTACGTTAAATGCATAAGTTAAATGTCTGATGTCAAACCACATACTAAGGTTAAAGGGTTGCAAAGAAGGAGGATACTTTGCATCTTCTGGCTAGATAGCAAACAGTTTAAACTACAGGGATTATTTTTTAAGTTAAGGGCCATACACTACTATATCAGCTCAGTCATCCCATACAATAATCTCAAAACGCAGCAACAAAAAATAAGAACTTGTTTTGTTAAATTTACTCAATTATTCCCTGCTTACAGGTAGGAAAATATCAGCAACATTTATATGGCAAAGATCTGCTATCCATTTGGGAAAGTAATCTCATTTTGGGTCTTTCTGATTTTTTTTCGAAGGGAAGAACTGAAATAATACGAGACAGAACTCCAAATATGCACCATTTTTCTTTATTGCTCATTTTTTGCTTCCTGCCAGGAGAAGTCATGACTAAGAATGGGAAGGCTTTATCTGGTAAATCAGTGCTTGATTTATACAAATGCAGTGCCTCCCCAAAGCAGCCCTGCAATGTGGCTGAGGGCATAGCAATGGAAAACCTCACCCAATGACTGAGAACACTCCTCCAGCACGTAAAAACAAGCGATTTGTTTCTGTGCATCTGCTCGGTCAATCTGCTCCTTAGCACAAGCTTGCTCATTGGTGGTCGATGTGATCGGCTTCCGAGGGTCAGCGTTTTCTTCTCTCTTCTTTGTATGTTGACTTAAAAAGAACAAAAAGCTTCTGTAGCTGTAAGGTCAATGGTATGAAAGAGGTGGCAACTGCTGTTTGAGATATGAAGATAGCAACAGGGAAGTATGACATGTCTTTACCCACGTTCAGACAATTGGTCGTGCCCCGTCCCGACAGACTCCGGAGTGCTATCAAAACAGAAGTTATTCATCATAATGTACACAGCACTGGAGGGTGGGGACAAGCTCTTTAACTCTCCCGGAATGGGAACCCCATGGCTACCACTAGTGATGGGTAGCACAGGGATTTCTACACCTGACCGAGGAATGTCTTTAACCACTGTTGCTTGACTTCACTGAAATGATTTACAACTAAACTATTTTCCAACACCCAAGTATGTAAAGAGCTACTCTATCATCACTTCTGAACTAGTTTTTTTCACTGCTGGATCAGTGAAACTAGATGCTGAAAACCAATCTTGTTAAAAGTGGCAAGGTATCTTCTTGGAGCCTACAGGAACCTTTCCATTGACTTGGATCTCATCCGTAAGGATCACCAGACCAGCATTTCTCCACTTGCAAGCAAAAACAAAAGGGGAAGGAGCAGGAAAAGAGAAAGCTAGTTCAATCACAATCATCAGGTAAAGCTCACGATTAATGGACAGATGCTGTCAGGGCCCTGAGTGCACTGAGAGGCCATGACCAGCCTCACGAAAACCCCACTTGCACGTTCTGCCCATGGATCCAGGAGCTCTGTTTCAGCTGAGGCTTGGGCCTTCGGTCCTTGCCAGAGCAGGTCTGCCTGTCTCCAGTCCTGCCTCTGGTCCTGTCTCCTGGAGGGACCTCAACCCCACACTGAAGGTATCTTGTCTCGTAAACAAAGCCCTCAGGCAAGCTCTAGCTCATCCCCATCCCTGACTGCAGCCTCATCTCCCGCTGCTCCTCACTGGATGGACCCTGTACCGGTTCATTGCTGTGCCTGGGACTGCTGACACCCAGCTCTGGCCCCTGTTCAGGCCCTGTGGGACTGCACCCCAATAGCGAGGGCACTGCAGGTGCTGGGGTCACCTTCAGCTCCCAGCTCGTCCTCCTTCGTGAGGCCACTTCTATTCACAAAAGGTGAAAATACAGAGTTTTAATTCATGTGGAAAACACTTTCTTTGCACACATTGATCACGAATACATGACTAGATAAAACCTGAGGGTGGGGTTTGGTTTAGTTTTGATTTTTTTTTTAAACCCTGTTGCTTCCTTATGGGAATAAAATAGTAAATTATTGACTTACCAAGGGTGTTCTCAGAGTTACACAAATACATCATAAACTGAGATAACAAATATAATTTTATTACATTTCCCACATGAACATAACACCAAAGTGGGTTTTGGTTCTGTTCTTCTCTCTCACTTCCTGAAACACGTGTTTAGGACTGACCCATGACTACCACCAAACTGTGTTGGAACAGAGTGGATGAAAACACAGATGTTGTTAAACTAAAAAAATACCATTTCAACTGAATAAAAAAAGTGAGGAAAAACAGAGTCCAGTATAATTCTGGAAGATGCTCATGCACTTCAGCCCTATGCTGCAATGCACTCATCTGCTTTTCTTTAGCTTTCAATCGTTGAAGCAAGATCTACTTCATAACGTGAGCTGTTGAAATCATGAACAACATGAAAGCTACTGTTTCAGGAGCTCAGCCGGAATGTGAATTTATGTAATGAAAATCTCCTCCTTTGAAATTCACTGTGATATTTAAAGTTTTGCACCCCTGAGACTGGGTTTTCAGAGAGCGGGTACCTACATGCCACTCACTTCCATGGAGTTCAGATTAAGTACTGCATGGAACAAGCGCCTGTGGTTGTACCAGAGATATTTGTTCACGTTTGAAAATGTCTTCGAAAAGGTTACTGTCTCAAAATATCCACTATAATATTAGGACACTGCATGGTGCTGGTCCCTTTATGCATAATTACTACTGTCCCTAAAATGAGTAAGATCTGACATTGCAAAAGCATGTCAGGACAGCCAAATGAGCTGAAGCAATTACTATTTGAGTGCTAACCAGCTGACCAGAGTCAATAAAATAAACGCTGCCAGGCAAAGCGAGCTGCGTGTTTGTGTGAAGCCTAGTGCAGCAAGACCTTCTGATCATGGCACGCATTCACGGTCAACATGACGGGAGTTATATTCTTTAAGCTACGGCTTTCCAGATAGTTTCAGTTTGGTGAGGATGGCCACGCTGCCTTTCAGAAGAAAGAATTTCTTGTCCTCAATTTTAGCATTTTTTTCATCAGTTGAGGGAAAGTGAGAGGTAACAGGAAGGTGTTATTCACTAAAAACACTTCTAATATATTTTTTCCACTTCAAATTCCATCTAAAAACTTCCCAACTTCAGAACTTCAAATGGCCAGAAGATGACCTGCAGAATTTTGTGCACAGGAACTAGGTGGAGAAAGGCAGGCTTAGGAAGTTGATCTCACGTTAATTGAGGACATCTGAACTGTCTACTGGGCTCACAGATATTTTAAAGTATCCTGTGCAACAACCTGCATCTGAAGTTTTGAATAAGATAATAATTCTAGGCCTGTTAATCAAGGAAAGAGCCTTCAAAACAAACTAATGTCTACAAAAACGTGGGCACAATATTTTTGGAGATGCCGCGTATTTAGGAAAGGTAAGTCATAGTCCCAAATTTCCCTTGCTATTCTCTTCCTGTACACAGTGGACACGTTTTGAAAGTTTCAAATATTTCAGCATCTTTTGGCACTTACTTCAAACGCACATGGCATACATCAAAATAAGTCAGAGCTCTTCTGTCTTGGGCAGCGGACTGAGATACTCACATGGATGAGACAGGGCAGACACGAGGAAAGAAATAATCAACTGTCACAAGGCAGGGGTTAGCAGAAGTGAGACAAACCCATAAAACATATAGGAAGAGAGAAAACACTAGCATGAGAAAACTCATGATGAGCTGATAAAGATTTTGGGTTTTAAATGGTGGTACTGGTGAATGAGAAGCCAAATAAAGCTACCTCCTTCCAGTTCAGGTATGGCAGCTACAGAGCAGTGTATTGGTTTTGGGTGGCTAAGCTGAACGCCTCGATTTGAAGAGAGAAGGGAGTCCTCCCTGTGAGACGGGTTGTTGCTTTCTTGACATTGCAGACCAACTGCCACCATACAGGACAGGTCAATACTTGCCATAGTTAAATACTCTCACTTTCCTGCTTGGCTTTTCAACTATGGCATTTTCAAAAGATTTGGGAAGAAGTATCAACACAGGAGAAAACTGTTGGAAAAAACAAGTGAGGAAGAGCAGAGCAAAGCAAAGGGCATGCACATCTGCAAGTGATCTGACATCAGGTCCCTCACACATCTTCTCCATGCTGTCCGTCTCTAAAACAAGGGTGGGTCTGTGATACAAACCAGGAAAGCTGTGAAGATTACTACACTAGGGCTTGTGAAGCAATCAGTTACAATGTGCATCAATCAGTTTTTCAGTCTCATCATGATACCTCAATGCTAAAGATTTCCTTTTCTAGCGTTCTCCCAGCTGCTCTGAGATAAATTGGTTTATAAACTGTTGTGCTCTGTGTTCAGCTTTATTTAGACTGGTTTAGCAATTGGAGCTGCTGTTAATAACAAAAATCCTAACTGGCAATTGCAGCACAGATATTCCCAATTTGCCAGAAGATTCTCACCTTCCATGTTTACTCTCACTTTTGCAAAGCACCCGAGAGCTCCATGTAAACATCTGGATTAGCCTCTCAGATTAATAAACAGATTCTAAAATTGGGAGATTTTTCCCCACAACAAATCACATTACCAGTTATTTTCTTACACAAAAAATTACGTCAATAACCTTCTCCCCAAATGAACATCCCATGATTACTTAAAAAGGCACAAATAAAATTAATCTACAAGAGACACTATATTATTAGAACATATGCTGAAATCAACAACACTCAAGGCTCTATCATGGCATTTTGTTCTTCATTGGTATTTACATTATTATAGTTCTTATGTATTGCTCTGGAAATCAGCTTTGAAGTGGAATGATGAATAAATGAAGATTTATGATTATTATCCTTATTAGAGGGATTTTAAAGTCATTAGAGACCAACAAGACATAATAATCATATTATATTCAATCTTCTCTAGAACATCTCCTTTGATAGGCCTGCTAACTCAATTATTTAAATATATATTACAGCAAAATGCAGCATGCCTTCTACAGTTTGGGATAAGATGGGCATTTTTATGTTTTGTTTTCAGTTAACCAGAATTTGTTCTTACAGAATTCATGGGTTTCACAGTGGGTGTCTCGGTTTTAAACACTAGAGTTTCAAATTTACAGTGAACACCTGGCTCAATGTATCTGCTCAGTTGAAAAAAAGGTTAAAAGTCGGGGAGGAAATAAGGCACTGGAGCACAATCATAACCTGCAGTGACTTTTAAAAGTAAAAAAAAAAAATCCCCACAGAAGCAATGATCTCTCAAATAGTCAATGGACTTGGCTTCAACCAAACACCACCAGGCAAGGAAAAAGCATCTAAAGGCTCTGAGGAAGAACAGAAGCAGAACTGCACCACTCCGAGAAGTTCAGAAAACAGTCTCTGGATTCAAAGTGACATCTATAGTCGAGCAAAATCTACTGATTAGAAAAAAAATATCCAAACACTGTATACCTGGAAATTATCTCCTTTATTAAAAAAGGAGGATGAATAAACCCTAAGACAAACATCACAACGCCTAAAGAAAGCTCTGGAAATGTTAAGTGGTCTTCTAGACAGGCCACCTTCTGAGGGCTTGGAGGGAGGGCTTGGAGGGAGGGCTGCAAAACAAGTATTTGGCATGCAAGCTGAGTGACAACAAGAAGGCAGAGGGCAAAGCTGCAGCCCTATTGATGCTCATTAACTCCTGCATGGCTTCTTTGCTTGCTTCTCTCCTGAAAGGAAGAGGAAAAGGTGCTGAAGGACTAGAAGTGTGTTCATAGCGAAGGAAGTTGGCAACGCAATAATGATGCTGTTCACAACATGAACGGAGAATTGTTATCCAAGGCACAGAGAGCAAGGAGCTGCACAGGAATTACTTATGTCCTTTCCACCCTTCCTTTACTCATGAAGTCCTGTACCATGAGCTTACCCCAAAGGAGAAGCTTGGAGACACCACCATTTACACAGTTCGGAGACCACCTTGATGTCTTCTTCAGTTCAGACAACTAAGGATTGTTGTACTACATGCACAGCAGACCTCTTTCATAGCAAGAATCCATGCTTAACTACAACCAGACAGGTCTTCTCCCCCCAGCACTCTCATTACAGTTACAGCTCTTTTCCATCAGTTACAAGAGGGAACCTTATAACCCCAGGCTATGACTAACCCCCTTCTCTGCTCTCTAAAACTTCCATCATTATTCAACCTTGACAGCAGAGATGGTATAGAGTAGCACTGTATCACTGTAGGTTGGCATTGGCAGTTCTTATCGCCCAGCTGGAAAACAAGTGCAATGGTAATAATGACCATCTAGTTCATTCCTCAGTAGCTTCACTTGCTACTTGTAGAGCTGCAGTTATAGCAGTCGGGCAAAACAGGAAAGCTCTTGAGCACCAAAGAAGATGGAGCTCACACAGAAAATCACATGAACAACTGCACTTATTTGTGGAAAAAGGATGGTATGTGGGAAAGCGAAAGGTTTTTCAGCTATGTGGCTAATGCTTTCAACCACACATGACAAAAATCCCTAAGTGGCAAAAAAACCCAGCAGCCAAAGGCAAAGGTAAGAGCAAAACTGGCTAGAACCAAATAAAGTATTTTCATACCTCCCTTCACTCAAAATGACCTATTTAATGCAAAAGCAAGATGGAAAGTACAATCCTTACTGTTGACTCTTTCTGCCTGCAACTTGTCTGGGGATGATGTTCGTGGAAGAAAGAAGAGTACCGTTTTCATCTCAGGTGTTAGGCAAACAGCAAGGGGCAATATACTGTCTTTCAGATCACATCAGCTGCTCAGGAAAGGCAGCACCAGCACTGAGGTATTTTCCTTTAATTCTGTCATTGCTGTTCCAAGTTCTTCATGATTTTCTCCACTTGTGAAACATCTGAGGCAATCTGGGCTACTACAACTATGAAGCTCGTACCTGCTAGTTCTCCACAGGTGCTTTATGTCAGATTAGTCCCCAGATGTGAACACTGCAAGTGTTCATCATCTATGAAAATCATCATTTATGGATACTAATAATCTCAGGATGTTATCGATGCTATCACTACATCAGCCGCCTTCCAACCCCA